GGCTCAGAATGAGAAATTAGAGAGGCATGTTCCACTGATGTTTGTTATATTCCCTTATGAACTGATACCCTTGGAAAAAGTACGAATCCACATCTTTTCCTCCCAGCTATGAATTAATTAGTAAAACTTGTATTAATAAAATCATTATGTCCAGAACTTCTTCCAACCTAAAACTATTTTCTGACTTTAAATAACCTGTAAAATGTTGATAAACATTAAAAACAATCAATCCATCAATCTTGAGCTTATCTTTTCCTAGCATAAAGTTACAGTAAATTATGGTATGCCCAATGAGGATGGACCTCTTAAATCTAATGAATTAGCATAAAAAATGGACTTGTTAACCATCATGTAAAAGAAGGCATTCCGTATATCATCATGTCTTTGCTTTATGAAAGAGGATTCAGAAAAGGTGTTCAATACAATGTAATTTGTAAGACTTAATGGGAAACAGACAAATTTTTCAGCAGTGGATGCAAGAGCAGAGGAGCTGCATGTACTATAAAAGTTATTGGTGTCCAAAATGGGATTGGTCAGTAAAGTTCAAATTCTGGTCAAGACTATTGAAAGTTCACTATGCAAAAAAAATGAACTAAAGAAATCCATCTGTTCCCCCTCCAGCTGGGCTCTCTAGCCTTGGTTGGCAACCAGTCTAAAAGAATGACAATTCTAAATTCCAAAACAGCTGGGTGCAGAGTCAGTAACTCCACCCTGTAGAATCTACTTGCTATTGAAACTACAGCAGTACACCACAGCATTGTTTCGCTGTGGCCCTATGCTCTGCAGAGATTCTACAGGTTTGTGAGAGAAACAAGAGCAGGATTGATGATTAGATAGAGTACCAAGTTTATATCACTATCTCCACTCTGGATCAGAATGGGATCATCTCCATTACCTTTGTATCACATTAATCAGAAGTATGTTTCACTCGGGCAGGTTATTCCCAAGAACTGTTGCTTTGTAACAGACTCCGGGCAGGATGTTTTCCCAAATCAATACAACCTTAACCAAATCATAAATAAGATTAACTGTTATCTCTTCTGCATAAATTCATGAATATCATTTCTTGCCTTTTCTTAAACTCATGTAAAACCACAATCTAACCCTCTACTTGAGTTACTCTTGAGCCTTGTATCAGTAACAAAAAAGAAAGTGATGGTGGTTGCTTGGAAAATATTGTGGTGTCAAGGACTTTCAGTAACCTCTGTCACACAATTATAGTAGCCAATACCATGAGAGGATAGGGTACTTTTTAACAAATCTCTCTATTGCTTTGAAGACAAACCTTAATTGCAGTGAACAAGACATTCTGAAAAGTCAATTAGATAAATATCATATTGCAAATGTATGTGTGTATAGTATAAATTTACAGATCTCTGCACACAGATGTATGTATGTATACAAATATCTAATATTTCATGTGAATTTGTATTATTGAGCAAACAGGCTACACCAGGAATTTGAGAACAAACCTTTAGCAAGCCATAAAAAGAAAATGAACTTAATGTAACATGAGCTAAATGTTAATATCCACATTTCACTTTCAGACAAATTGAGAGCATTAAAATGGCAGCTTCCAGTCTGATACAGGAAATGAAAAGGTGAAAAGGCATACCATGCTTGTAGCAATGGCCACAAGACACAAGAGATAGGCAGCTTTTTGCAAGTTACCAGGAGTAATGACAAGAGAATCTGTATGGAACCCAGAGAGATACTTACATTGGTGAATATTTTAATATTAGTAATTGAAGTTGATAGGTTCACCTATTGCCTGGTTTATACTCTGACCTAGTTTTTGAACAGGAGCAGAAGTTTATCCCTGATTTTCTGTTTGGCTTTGAGTTTGCAGCTCCTGCTGAAGTCTTTTCATTCTCTTTCATAACCAATGGCATTATCACCTTACTTGAGTTGAATTGATTTAAAAAAAAAAAAAATAATGATTCTAGTCTGGTTGATTAATGTGGGTAGTTTGTGAGTTTTTAAATTAATTTTTTATCTTTCTTTCTTTCAATTATTGATATATATATATATATATATATATATATATATATGCACACACATGCACATATATATATATATATATGCACACACATGCACATATATATATATATATATATATATATATATATATATATATATATAATTTTAAGACATTTTTTTATGTTTATACATTCTTTTTTATAATTACAAATATTTAAGTAAATGCTCTGTTTATAATAAACAGTATTAACAACATTTAGCGGGCTGAAAATGTCGCTAATACTCTTTATTATAAACAGAGCATTTACTTAAATATTTGTATCTATAAAAAGAATGTATAAACATAAAAAATATCTTAAAATAATTGTTGGACTTTGTTCATTTTTATATATATATATATATATATATATATATATGTGTGTGTGTGTGTGTATATATATTTAAATAAAAAGAAAGAACAGTAAGATATGTAATCCGGTGTTCTTACTGATATTTTTATTTTTTACAAAATAGTGCTCAATGTAAATTTACAGAGCATTATATATTATTATTATTATTAATATTGTAGAGATTTCAGACAAAAATTTTACCTTTTCATCTGATTAAAGTATTTCTGCTTTAGTAATAAAGTATTCTTAAATTAGTTTCAATATTTCTCTGAATAACAAATCATCAGCATCATACTAACACTAATAATACTATAATTATGCAAAATCATTTAGTATTTCCCCTGTCCATAGCTAAGTCAAATCTATCATGCCTATAGTTGACCTAATTTGAAATCAGTTATATTGATTCAATGGCAGTACAAGATTTATAGAGATATATCATATTTATTTTATTTTTTTTAATTTTACTGAGATGTGTCTTTATGTCACAACGTTGAGAACCAATAATTCAGGACACTGGCTATATTGTGTTTACAAAAAGAAAGAAAAATAAGTCTTGGTGTCATCTTTAGTAGGTGCTGTGTACCAAAAGAAAAACAAAAAAAAATGGTTCTTCCAGTCTATAAGTAACAATCAAGCAAGGTAATTATGATATGCTTCGTCTCAGATGTTTTGTTAAAGCCAATTTTACATTTGATGAATTTAATTATAAACTATACTACATTTGCTGACAAACATCATCAAAACATGCATAACAGAAGAAAAAATAACAGAGTGAAACTTCTTTGTCAGTAACATCAAACATAATTTCAATACAATTACTAAGAAAATTGGGCAAAATTGTTATTCTTCTAATTCCCAGGATTCATCTGTCTTCTAATTTTTTAATATTGTTTTTGTGGGTAGAAATTTCTTATTAGTATTTTGTGAAGCAAACAGTATGACAGACTATTAAAGATTTGAATTCAAAATATTGTCATATTCACTTTATTTGTAAAAAGGGCCTTAACTGAATAAACAAATACTGAAATAAAGAAGAAAAACATATGAAGGCAATAGAAAAATCATGAAGTCAATGAGGAAAGTTACAGTTAAAAAAAAAATGAAAGGAAATACCATAGATATATAATAAATATGATATCAAATCACTAATAAATATGAAAACAAAATAAAGCAGAACATTGTAAATAATTTCTAGAAAATGTTATAATCATAAAAATTATGAAGATGGCACTGTGTTGCTGGCAGACTCAAAATGAAAACTGAAAGAACTCTGAGACAAATTAGTAAAGGAAAGCAAGAAAAAAGGACTAACTATTAACTGTAAAAGAGAGAATACATGTGTGTGAGTGAAAGAAACATTCAGTATGTGAGTTGTGTATTGGGGGTGAAAAACAAGCAGAGAAATTTAACTATTTAGTCTAACAACAGACAACTGAAAACATGATACACAAATATGAAGGAACAATGAAACAGCAAAAAGATATTCAAGAAAATAAGCAAAATATCTTCCAGAATATAACAATGAAATAAAAACTAGGCAAATTTCCTTAGAAACAAAGAAAAGAGAGCATAACTTCTGTAAAATATCTTATATCCTCCGTGGGAATAAATGCCTGACAGTATCTTCACAGATAAAAAAGTGGCTTGAAGTATTTGAAAAGTGATTCTAACAAAAAATGCTGTGAATAACATGGACACAAAATGTGAGCAACAAGGAAGTTTTAAAGAAAGTAGAAATTACAAGTAAACTTACATTTACAATCAGAAAGAGACAGTTCATGGCAATCTTTTCTTTTTTATTAACATATTCACAGCCATCACCATGACTGCTATCATTCTTTTTTCTTCTTCTTCAAAACTGCTTTCTGATTATATTTCTTACATGCTTTGTTATTCTTTCAATAATGTCTGTGTTTGTTATCAAATGCATACAATTTGTCATTAGTTATTTATTTACCATCTGCCAATCCAAATTCAAATTTTCAAAAAGAAAGTAAGATATTTAATGAATAACAAACCAAGAGAAAAAGAGAAAATGAATGCATTAACACCTACATGAGTTTTATAAAATCAAAGTATTTTGTTTTTATTTTTATTTTTACTGATAAAAAATAAGATTATTTTAGAATTAGAGGGCTATGGAAATATAGCAACCAAGATGCTTCTTTTGGCATTGTGTAAAGTTTCAGTGACTGCCTGCCCATAACCTTATAGAATACAATAATCAGGAGTTGAATCGAGGAAAAAAAAATAAAGAAATATTAAAAAATTAGAAGAAAAAAATATTATAAAATGGAATGAAATGACAAGAAAAAAAAAAGAACAACAAGTAAGGTAAATAAGAGAGTAAGAATAACGAGAAAAAATAGAAGTAAAAAAAAAAAAAAAAAGAGTGAGAATAAAACAATGAAAAATGATAATTTTAAAAAACAGAAAAATAGAACAGGGTGAGTGTTAATTGAAAAAAAAAACACTTTGAAGAATGATTTTGCTGGAACAATGAAATCAAAATAAAACAAAGGATAAAAGTGGAAGAAAGCCGCCAAAAAAGAAAGTATAAAAAAGATATATCTGAGATAAAGGCAGATAAAAATGAAAGACAAATCAGAGAAAGCATAGGAGGAAGACTTAAATATGAAAGAAAGAGAAAAATTCTAAAAAGAGAGAGAAAAATTCCAAAAAGAAAGAGAAAAATTCTAAATAGAAAGAGGTGAAAGAATAAAACACAAAAGAAAGAAAAATGATACAAGTAAGGAAAGAGATATGAAGTAATAAAAAAAGGAAGAAAAACGTAATAGTAATGGAAAGATTGAGAAATTCAAAGAAAAACAAACTTAGTCAAAAGTAAGCATTAAAAATAATAATAATAATAATAATAATAATAATAATAATAAAGAGGAATTAAAAAAAAAAAATCACTGACCAAAAGTTTGAAAAGAAGAAATATGAGAAAAAAATGATTAGAAAACTAAATGATAATAAAATTTTGAAAAAAAAATGTAGGGAATGAAATAAATAAAGACTAAAAAAATTAAGCTGATGCTATATTTAAAAAATATTTACCACTCAAGAAAGAAAAATTACTAATGTAAAAGTATTATATTTAAGTAAATATTTAATATTTAGTTAAATATACATTTAAGAAAATATTTTAGACTAATTGATAAAAGCAATGGTCATCTTAGAAAGAAAAGGGAGAGTATCTTCTTTTATGTGCTGTGTCCATTCAGAGCATGACTCTCCACAATTTCCTGTCCTTTGTAGCTCTTAATAAATTTACTCTTTTTTTTTTATTTCTCCTGAACCTTACCCTGCAATACAAAAAGAGAAAGGGAAAGAACTTGCTGTAGAAAAGTATAAATAAAAAAAGGAAGTAAAAAGGAGAGTAAGGAGAAAAAAATATTGAATAAATAAAGAAAGAAACTGGAAGAAAGTAAGAGAGGAGGAATAGAACAAAATAAATATGAAAAAAGGATAAAAAAAGAATGTTTAAAAAAAAAAAACAAGAAAAATATAATTTAAAGTAATGAGAAGAAAAGAATAAAGAAAACACTGCAAAAATGAAAAGAGTATAAATAAATTGCCAAGAAAAGAAAAGAGGCTATATGAAGTGTAAAAGAAAAGAAAGAGTAAAAGTAAAAGAACAAAAGAGAAAGTGTATTAAGAACAATCTAAAAGGAGAGCATGTAGAGAAAGAGAAATAGAGAAGAAAAGAAAGACAAACCAAAGGAAAAAGGAAGTATAAAGGGGCAACAGATAAGATGGTATAAGAATTAACAACAGAAAGGAAATAGGTATAAAAAGAATGAGTAAAAAAGAAAAAAGTAGAAAAGAAGAAGAAAGAAGTACAAAGAATACAGAAAAGAAAGATGATTAAAGAGATAAGAAGAAGAAAAGGAGGAACAGAAACATTTCTACAGAAGAAAAATCTTGTAATGGACAGAGAAGGTAAAAGCAAATCACATCCATAACAGTCCACCCAGGTACATCCACTGCCTGCATACAAAGGAACCAATGACACTAAAGAGCTGAAAAAGGACAAGAGGTTGTAGAAGAAAAGTTAGAAGCAAGAGAGAGACAAAAAAAAAAAAGCTGGAGCCATCAGTGACACTCAACCACCACCTAACAACTACTACATTATCAGTTCTTTGCTCAATAATCATATTCAGAGGAGACATTACATGAATCAGTCAATAGATATAATAAAATAATTTGGAAGTTCAAAGGTGAATCCCAGAGAATCCAGGTGCAGAAGCAAAATGGATGAGGGGGTCAACACAGAACTGAAAGAAGAGATCCTATATTGTCATTTTGAATCAAGGTACAACAAACAATCACACCAAATCTGAGAATTTCCTTTTTCAGTAAAATTGCCATATCCATAGACCCATTCTTACTGATGATGATTTTGGTTTATCAGTTTCTTTAAATATTTGAAGCTTATATTTTCATATTCTACTGAGTAAGTTACCTTCATTTTTCTTTTCAAATTAAAACAAATGGCTTTATTATTCATTTTTATATTTTTGATGTCATTTTTTTATGGTTATTTTTTTCTTCTTTTCCTTTCTAGTCTGAAATACAGGGTCCAGTAGATAAATTGTTGTATAAATTTTGCAAAAAGGAAAATAACTCTGATATCTCGTTTTAACAGATATATTTACCAAAATTACACAATAATATCTTGAAATACTAAAGAGAAAACTTATTCAATAAAATCGCTATTTGCTCCAACCACTGCCTCCAGATGACTTAAGAATCTCCTGCAACTCTTCTGGATGGTCTCCCTATTTAAGTTGGTGAATGCTGCCATAACCCTTGCCTTCAATTCATCTTTAGTGTTCTAAGGAGTTTTGTTGGTCTTTCGCTCAGCTGCACCTCACAAATAATAATCAAGGAGGTTGCAATCTAGGGAGTTAGGTGGGATGTAAGGAGTGATGTGTTGTTGCAGAAATTGTCTGACTGGGTTCTCCTACTTGTGTGGCATAGGGAAGAGTCCTGTTGCCAGACATAAGGTCTTCCAACAGCAACCCTCTTGACCCAGGGAAGCACTATCTCCCTGGTTATGGACCTGATCGACTTGGATCTTCCCAACAAATTCAGGAGTTCTTTCCTTATCAGAATGATCAGAGTGAGCTTTCTGAACTGCTGTACCTTCATAATCGCCATTAGACTCATCCAACTCTCTCTGAATCCTCTGCAGTGTTCTCAGATTTAAACCCAAACAATCTGAAATGCTTGTATTGGAGCTTCCGACATGAATGCAAAGCAATTTAGAAAGCAGTTTCCAAATTTCTTGTAGAGTGAATGGAGTCCTACTCTGCTCATTTTCTCACTGACAGTGACCAACTGATTCTGCTATACTCTGCAGTTGCCAAAATCAAAAACAAACAACGAACATACATGAAATTAAAAATATAAAATAGCAACAATTTACCAATTGCACCCTGTATATCCCCACTTGTTTAAATTTCTCCTCATTTTCTTGTGTTCATTTCATATCAACTCTAATCTTGTCAACTGAGGTAGCAAGCAAGTGTTTTCATCTGCTCCAAGGGCATTTTTGTGCATCATCTCCCTTCAGGGAACATGGCTCTCCACAAAATCCTATTAATTGTAGCAATCATGGCTCTCCACAACATCTTATCATTTGTAGCTCTGAATAATATTACTTTACCTCCGTTTACACAAAGTCATGAGGTAGGTTACTTGCTGTTTCTCTCTACCTATACTTCCTTCAATATGTCCTGTGAGTGTCAAATTTTTCAAACCTTTTTCCTTATTGTGTCCCAGAAACTTCAACAGTCTCTTTCTGACAAGTACAAGTATGTAATTTCCCTAAAACTTCCTTATTACTCACATGCTCTATATATGGTATTCTCAACATCCTTCTGTAGGACAACATCCCTCTTGCCTAGAATCTGTGCAGAAATTCTCCAATCATCATAGATACCTAGGAGGATTGAAATTATACAGCAGATTAGGGTTATTGTGATAAGATCCCGTTACCCTCCTTACTATTATGAATGGACTGATCCATTCATGATAAGTAGTCCTGGATAATTGTCTAGAGAAGGAAGAAGATAATACTATTGCAGTGACTTGTCTAGCTGAGTATTGAATACTATTATCATGACTGACTCGGTCAAGGTAAGTGTTGTTACTTGCCAGACCCCATATCATAATAGTCAGCAACGATAATGATTCACTATTATAACAGTGGTGGACAGATTCATTTTTTTACAACTTGGGAAATCAGTATGTTGGAAAGAAAAAAATTAAGCCAGAAACAATGGAACATTAAAACATTTGAAATATATATTGGAAGCAAATTTTCAAGTCCAACAATTAGAAATGGAGAACTAATGTTGTAATTAATAAAGCAACAGCAAGAACAACAACAAAAACAGCAATTCCAAGAAAAATTATTGAGATAACAAGAACAACATCAAAAAATATTAGAAATTTTTATGAAGATTAAAAGGAACCAAAATACTTCTGCTTTTTTTCTCACAAGACTCAGTAGCAAATGCAATTGGCAAATTTAAATATAACCTTGATGAAGAGGTTGTTACATTTGTAGCATACTACAGAAAACCTTTTAAAAAGACTGTATAAGCTGGTTGGACAAGAAAAAAGTGTGCCTGTTACTAAGAAAGTTTGAGAATTTTGACTAAGCTTGAACGGGACTCAAAATCTACCTTGTAAGTTGTAGCTGAAGAGTGTCAAAGAATAATGAACTTATGATATGATACGAATAGAATTGAAGGAATTCAATTCATCCCAAAGTATATGGGAAATCAAAATACTTTACAAAACCAAGTCCATGTTACAGATACAACAAACTACATTTCAAGAGGAACTGCTCTTTTAAGAACAAAAAATGTTTCGACTGTGGAAATGGCTCAAGAGTTCACATTGTAAAGTTTTAAAAAAAAAGTCAATATTTAAGAGCATGGCAAATGTAGCATCAATGACAGGCAATGCGGACAAGGGTCAGATTTGACTATTATAAACAAAGAAACATGGGTAAGAATCATTAAACCAATATTAACAGGATCAAAAAAAATGCTTGGGATGTTACGAGGCAGGAATTGAAATTTAGAGATGAGTTCACATCAGATGTATCGTTTTATGAGAAAATGGTGAAGGCCAAAGCATTCATCATGAAAAGAACTCATAACTTGTTCAAAAAGATTTGATCCAACAGCTCAATTTATGGGATTTGCCCAGAAACTCTTTTTGTAATAAAGTGGATGGCTATTCTAGTAACTCTGAAAGGCTAAAAAAAAAAAAAAAAAAAAAGAATTGAAAAATCAATTTCCAAAAGTTTTTTTCCAAAGGGTTAGGAGAAGGCACAAAGACTAATGCCAATTTCCGGTCCAAGGAAAATGTGGTACCAATTTTTAGACCAGAGAGAAATGTGTCCTTTTCAGCTTTCAATATGATAAAAAAGGAATTAAATCATTTGTAAAATATTGGAGTGATCCCCAAAGTGGATTATAACAATTGGGCCTCCCTGACCATTTACATGAAAAAGAAAAATAATAAAATCCAGTCCATAATGTGCCGATTCTCCGTGGGGCTGAATGAGCATCTACAAGCTTACAATTATTTCCTACCAAGCCCAGAAGAAATTTTTGCAAAGTTAAATGGCAGAAAGTACTTTTCAAAGTTGGGCTTGTAAATCCATGTTGACGAAGAAGGTTCAAAACTGTTAACAATCAATACCCAGAAGGGATTATACAAGTTTAACAGATTATCTTTCGGAATTAAGTTAGCATCTGTAATTTTTCAGATAGTAATGAGTAAAGTGTTGAATGATTTAAACTTCACAATCATCTACTTAGATGAAATTTTAATAAAAAGTGAAAATCAAGTGCAGCATATACAAATACTGGTTTAAATTGAGTGATGAGAAATGTAAATTTTTTATGATGAAAATTAAATATTAAATATCAGTGAAAACAATAGAAAACCAGACACAACCAGAATAAGTACGATTAAAAAAAAAATCGCCCTCCCCAACAAATTTGTCATCTTTATGAGCATATTAATATCATTTTTCTAAATTATAATAATCTTTTTATTTCATAGATGCATTTTTTGCAAGCACCATTAAATAATTTACTGAAAGATTCTCTAAGTGGAATTGGACAGCCGAATGCCAAGAATCATTTGAAAAAATTAAAACGATTCTAACCTTCGGACTTGTTTCTCTTGCATTTTGATTCAAAATTAGAAATAATCGTGGTGAGCGATGCTAACTATGGTGTTCAGTGCCATAATTTTGTATAAACACAAAGACGGTCCTGTAAAAGCAAAATATCACATGCATCAAGAATACTTTTATTGTATGAGAAGAATAATAGCCAGATAGAGAAAGTGGTGTTGGGAATAATTTTTGCTCTATTTACATTGTCCAGACTATCATCCTCATCTTTGTTGCCATAATTATCACAATATTTTGGCCGTTGTACACTCCAACCTTCTTCAGGTGGTTGGAATGTCGAACCGAAACCTTTATTTCACTCACTGGGGTAGACTGTTCTAGTTTCACATGCCATGTCTAATGGATGTCAGTTTTCAGTTATCTCCTGTTAATTCCCCTCACCAAGTTCTTCATTGCCTTAGCCGGGTATTGAACTCATACTCTTTTGGGTCATGTCACTGGATCTAACTAACACCTTTATCCACCCCAGCGAGCAAAATAAAGGGTTCAGTTTGACATTCCAACCACCTGAAGAAGTGTACAATGGCCAAAACATCATGATAAATATGGCAACAAAGATGAGGATGAGAGCCCGAACAATGTAAGTAGTGTACATAATACCTCATCTCAGAAATATAGACAGATATTAATTTTTGCTGTGAAAAATTTCACAAATTCAACCACAGTAACAGGTTCAGCCTACAGGCAAGCTACCATTCATTTTTATCTATTTTTGGACTGAAAAAGGGTATCCCAACACAGAGTGAATAGACTACAGTGACGGGGAACAATTGTGTTGAATTACAATTTTAAAATGGAATTCCCACCATAAAAAAGTTAAGTCAGACAGATGGTTTACTGAGACACATACCTAAATCATTGAACCTTTAGAAGATATGGCAATTGCAGCACTAAGAGCTGAGAATAAAATTAAGAATATTCTATGCAATACCATATGTAATCTACCAGTGACATTGGATGAAACTAAAATAAAAGCTCAGGTGGATACTTTTATTAGAGAAAAAAAGCAAGTTGGAAATTGAAGGAGAAAAATAAAAGTAAATCAGTGATAATGACTGACAGTGACGATATTTTTTCAATCAGCAGTGAAGTCTTAATCTATGGTGAAAGAATGGTAATGCCAGCATCTCTTCAGAAAAGGATGTTGAAAGAATTTCATACAGGTCATCCAGGCATTTCTAGAATGAAATCTGTCATGCATGGCTATGCCAACTGGCCAAATATGGGTGAAGATGTAGAAATATTGGTAAAAACGTGTAGAGGTTGTACCATGGCAGCAAAATCACGACCAGTTAAATTCCACCCTTGGCCAAAGACAAACACACCATGGTTGAGATTACACATTGATTTTGCGGGGGAAAATAAATGGTGTCTACTACTTAATCATTGTTGACAGTTTTTCCAAACAGCCAGAAATTTTAAAATGCAAATGTCTAACTTCTACAATTACAATAAACTTCTTGCATGAATTATTTGCTAGATATTTACAGGATACCCTTGCTGTTTCAGACAATGCCACACAATTCACTGCTAAAGAGTTTGAAAGTTTTTGTAAAACCTTTGTGATACAACATATCAACCCCCCCTACCATCCAAGGTCAAATGGGCAAACAGAACCCTTCATCGATACATACAAAAAAGCATTAAAAAGAACAATGGAGATGAAAGTAAGGATATGTTATTACAGCAGTTTTAATGTGTATATTGGGTGACATCTAATTCTAACACTGTATCAAGTATGTCCCTGGCATAACTAATGTTCATAGGGAAAATTAGATAAGTTTTTGACAAACTGCTTCCAAATAAAAAAAATGTCAATAACAAGAAAAAAATCTGATACCCAGGAATACTTCAAACCCAGCAAAAAGATATTCTTTCAAACTTACAAAAATAGAAAGGAAGGCTGAGAAGATGGGTTAGTTGAGAGACGTATTAGAAAGTAATTGTACATGATAAAAGGGTGTACCTGGGTGCATAAAAGACATCTAAATCAAATAAGAAAAAGTTACTTGAACAAACATCAGAGAGAAGAAGCTGATGGCGGTTTTGTATGATGTTTTGGATGTACCTATGCCTCAGATAGATCCAGAAATTACACGCTCCAGTAAAAGGAAGAAAGAGCCTAAAGAAGTATTGAATTCTTAGCCAAAAAGAAAAAGTCTAACTTCTTTAGGAAGTAAGTTTCAAAAAGGGACATGTTGTGATAAGAGCCAGTTACCCTCCTTACTATCCTGAATGGACTATGTTTATGATAAGTAGTCCTGGGTAATTGTCTAGAAAGAAGATAGTACTATCACAGTGACTTGTTTAGCTGAGTATTGAATACTACTATCATAACTGACTCTGTCAAGTACTGTATCTTGCCAGACCCCACTTCAAAGCAAAGGTATACTTCAAAAGACATCCATAAGGAAAACTGAATGAAATGAACAAAGGAATATAATTTTCAAATGTTGTTTTCATTCAGCAATAAAATGCTATGCTTGATGGACAAGATTGATTAAACAAAAGTTGGATAAATACTGGCAAAAATATAGAGTCATAAGGATTTCTCATTTTATACAGGGCCTAAGGAAAAAATTTGTCATTCAAATATTTGCCCTAGAACTGTGTGGGTAACAGATCAAAGAAATGGTATCAGGGATGTTTGTCATCTTTCATTATGTTTTCTGATCTTCTGCAACAGAAAGAATTAGAAATGTCTCTCAAAGTGGGCAGTGTATAGTTATGCATAATAATAGATCTTTATCAAGTATGCTTGCATGATAACCTATTTATAAGAAAAATCTTGTCTGATAAGTAGGTCACATATACACAATATACATACTTGCATACTTACCTTGATCATCTCAATAGAGCTCGATAATAATAATAAATGTAAAGACTTATCTATATCCACATACCTTTACTTATAAAAATGTTTATGGGATGGGGGTATTGATGAAGAGTGAGCTGGAAAAGAAGATACAGGTTTAACTCTGATAATATCATTTTTGACATACTGGGTTATCAGATGCCATCAGCACCACAAGGTTAGATTATGAAGTTAGCTCTCTGACTCCAGAGGCTGGATAGATTAGCTTTTTGGAGTGATTATCAGATATCATAGGTCACAGGATGAGTATACACAGTAAGAATCAATTATCAATTATTATTATTATTGGATTAAGATTATATATAGAGAAGTCGGTTCCAGGGGATTTTAAGATGACAAGTCAAACATGCACTGATTTTTTTGAAGGCACACTTGGCGCAATGATTCAAGAAGCTAAACCTATTTGAAAAAAAAATATTTTTATGCATGACAATTTGTTATCACATTCAATGCAGAAAAGTGATCCATATCTGAATAAAATGGGTTTTAAAGCAGCCATTTGATAAAGTGATTACCTTATTGATCCACCTTTGACCTGACTGCAAACTTGTGAAGTATTCAGAAGAGGAAGTTTTACAATATGCAATCTTTTTTTAAGAAGAAATATAACTAACTAAATAAATATAATTGCAGCTGAACCAATCTAAAACTTGTTTCAGAAAATAGAGCATAGATTTCATATCTAATGTTGTTTTTATAACTTTGTCATTATTACAATAATATTGTTTTCATTCTTTTCAAAAATATTTATTTTTATAAATTTTGCACACATTCTGTGAATATAATTTTTAATTGCAACACAAAATTTCTTCCAGTGTCAGTAAAATTAAAAGTGATCAATACTGTGGAATGAAATGTAATTTCAATTCAAAATGTTAATCATTTAATGCCTACCCATGATCTAGAAAACTTATATAAAATATTAATTTCAGAAAATTTTGATCCTTACCCTCACACAAAAATTTGTAATAGCCAACTCTTAGTAATAATTGTCTAGGTGCAAGATGAAGATCCTTTAGAAAACTATGAATAAGTAAATAAAATTGACCATATTATGAAAGCTAATAAATGAATTTTTATCAGTTTTTGTTTTTCAGTCTTTATATTGTTCATTTAAAATCAAAAAAGGAATTATTAATTTATATAAGCATTTAAAGAGGATATGCATAACTCTGATAAGAATATTTTCAACATGCTTTATACTTTACATTTAATCAACTCTGTATGTCTCTTTTGATTCATTCTTATGATAATTTTGTGCAGGAAAATTAATTATGTTTTAACAAGGGTCTCTACTTAATCTGGTTTCAGTTATCAGCATGTAATCCTATATCAGTGACAGTTGCATCACAACAATGCAATGTCATGTAATCAAATTTTCATGCTGTTACAGAGATTCAAACACTGATACTCAAATGTTCTAATTCAAGAGAGATGTTTAAATTAACTGAAAGAATGAGAAATAGTAGTAAAAGTGTGATGAGCACAATTTATTCCATCCTTTAACTGATTTATGATGTGACATTTTCAGATAGAATTATATGTGGTAAAGTGGTGACCCTATGGTGAGATTCAGATGGTTTTAAGAAGACAACTCAGGCATTCATTAATTTTTGAAGGCATACGTGGAGCCATGGTTAAAAAAACTAAACAGTTTTTAAAATATGATTTTTTTTATGTATAACAATGCTTCATCATATTCAATGAAGAAAATAAACAAACAATTTCATTTGAGAAAAAACTCAATATGAATTCAATTTTTTTAAAAAAGTCTGTATCGATAAATATTGCTAGAATGTTTTCATTTTTAATTCAGCAAACACTTTTGAATTTATTTTTTTAATCTAAGCTTATATTACAATTATAGAAATAGTTTGGACAAGATAACCTTTCACCAATAGAAATTGATTTCTAGATAATAAAAAAGCAACAACTTTAATCAATTATATGGTGTATATATTTCAGTTAAATTCATCATCAGTCTTAAATCACAGATCACTATCAGGTAGTTTAAAAAAAGATCTAAATATCTCGTGTGAAATATTATCATCCAATGAACTTCTTATATAAAAGATAAAAAAACAATCCAAAATAAAGGTTTATATTTACTAATAATTTAAATGTTAATTTAATATCTACATTCTGAATAATTTCACTCCTGTCAAAATAAAGAAAGATAAACTTAGAAAAAAAGAAGGAAAATAAAATAAAAATTGTAGACAAGAACTGAATAATATATTTTTTATTGAATGTTCGTACTGTTTCAGGACTTATATTCTCTTCATAAGCTAAATATTTAAATTTATTTAATGTATAAATCCAAGTACCACAATACAATACAATACAGAGGTGTAAGAATAATCAAAAAATAATGCAAAAATTCAAATTATTAGAAAGAGAAGATAATTCATTAATTCAAAAATCTAGAAGAGAAAAAAGAGGAGGGGTTATTTATTACATCCTCAAGTCTCTCAGGTATTTACTTATTTTTTTAATTAGGCTCCCATTTTGCAATCCAGAATCTTTCTCTAATTGCCTATTTGCATTGTGTATCTGGATAGTTAATATTAGAGAAACAAAATTAGATTAGTTGGGAGTGAGCTTTAGATCCCCAAGGTATTTGTGGCAAGAAGCCTCTTTGAGGCTATGACCACTCATCAGGATTAATGCAGGTTTAGGGTTTACACATGCTGATGAAATGTTGCCAGGTACTTATCATCAAGATATGAGGAAGTGCACTAAAAGACTGTGGTATCATCTGCATTTATAAAGGATCTGAGATTGTTCTTGGGCCGATGATTAATATAAAGATGGTAGGACTGAAGAGAGAGCCTTTGGGGACACTAGCCTTGATCTAATGTGCTCTAAAGGACTGGCCATTAACAACAACCTTTATAGACTCACCTAACAGGAAAGACTTGATAACGAAGAGGACTCTCCCAGAGTTTTCATAGCTGATCCGTTTGTGTAGCAATTCTTGTCTCACTTTGTCAACGTTCTTCAAGATATCAAGGGTGATCATTCTCAAAATATTTTTATTATCAAGCTACTTACCTAACAGGAAAGACTTGATAATTAAGAGGACTCTCCCAGGGATTCCATAGCTGATCCATTTGTGTCTCACTTTGTCAAGGTTCTTCAAGTTATCGAGGGTGATTCTTCTCAAGATATTTTTATTATCAAGCTCTTTGCTGATTCTTTGCATGATACTGGAATGTACCTAGATTGATACATCCATGCATGACTGCAACACCTTGTAGACTCCATGCTATATTCAGACAAAAGAAAGAGAAACATTATTAAATAAATGTCTCTAAGGTTTTTGCAAACAAACAAATTATGATAATGTTGATTAAATTATGATAATGTGGATTTTAAGTGCTGGTTCTCATTGCACTCGTACAGCAATTTAATGTGATATGAAAATGCTGGAACAAGAATGGGATATTCATTGCTCTTGATACAATTTGAACAACGTGGCTTAAATTATGTTGCATCAATTATGTACTATATAGAGAATGACAATAATGAAATTAATCAAATATTAATGATATCAGGATGAAAAAAAATAATGGAAGAAATATAAACAAAGTCTCATATGCTTTTACTCATTAATTAAACAAGTATTACTCAGATTTCAGAGCAAGTTACATTTTTAAAATACAGGGTGGTCTGAGAGCTTTGTCATCCCTTGCCAAAAAGTAATAAGAACAATAGAAGAACAAGTAATACAAAGCACATGTACTGGATTCAGTTCATTTACTTTCATCGATGCTGTCACAAATCAAGAAAATCTGTATGAACACCATCATTTTCATGGCACAAAATGATGCAGTTCCCTGTACTGCGTAATATTTTGCAAAGCTGTACTTTGTTGATTGTTGCAAAGGCTCTCCAAACAGTGTCTTTCAACTGATGGGTATTCTGGTCAGTATTTACATTAGTCGGACTATTGTCCTCATCTTTGTCGCCATATTTGTCACAACGTTTCGGCCGTTGTACGCTCCAGCCTTCTTCAGGTGGTTGGAATTTCGAACTGAACCCTTTATTTCGATCGCTGGGGTAGACTGTTCTAATTCCACGTGCCATGTTTGATGGATGTCAGTTATCAGTTATCTCCTGCTAATTTTCCCTCTGAAAGTTCTCCACTGCCTTAATTGAACTCACCTTCTTTGGGTCTTTCACTGGATCTAACCAACGTGCTTTTTATTCACTGTGCCATGTGTCCTTGAGGACATCTGGGTATGAACTTCTGAGTATTATAAACCTAATGTTTTCAGCATCATTTTTACCAGTGCTCATATTGCAATTTTTGCTGTTATCATTGCATGTCTTTACCAGAGTTCATATTGCAACTTTGTTATCATTGCTTTTCTCTGGCACTCCTTATTACTGGTTCCCACATTGTATTTATTTCTATGCTTGGTCGGCTCAGGAGATTTTTGTGGCCTAGCATATGTGCTGATTCCTTAAGTTTACGAATTTTCCAATGGTGTTCCCCTGTCTATGATCTCAACATGATCCCACAGGGGCGGTGATCTCCTTCTCTCTCCATATGTGGTCAGCCATGCCTGATTTTTTCTTCCCCTCGCGTTACAGCTTTCTGGTGTTCTTGAAGCCTTACCTTGAGGGGGCGGCCTGTCTCTCCTTTATATTCCTTTCTGCAGCTGCATGGGATAGCGTACCCACAGTCTTTAGTCATGTTCCTCTCTATGGGCGGTCTCACTCGTGAGAGATACCTGCGAAGTGTTGTCACGCTTTTGAAGGTTGTCCTGATGTTATATGGACCGGGTATTCTGGTATCATTCAAATGAAACCCTCGACTTGATAATACTCTACAGACCATTGAAATAGAAAATTATATTATGTGGGGGTGACAAAACTTTCGGACCACACTGTAGTTTAAAGAAATTGTACACTAGCAGAAAAGAGTAAAATTCAGAAGATGATGAGGAAGAGAAATGACTAAATGAAATGAGAAAATAAAAATTGTGTAAAATAAGAGAAAGAAGAAGAAAAGTTAGGCTTGTTTTGGTTTTATGGCATAAAACCTCAATGGGTTATTTAATGCCGACAAAATTTTTATTGTTGGTAATATTTTTTTAAAATCTATTTCTGGTGATATTTTTCCTTCAAAAAATCTATTTCTACTAAAATTTTTCCTTCACAAAATCTATTTCTGGTAATATTTTTCCTTCAGAAAATTTATTTCTGCTAAAATTTTTTCTTCAAAAAATCTATTTCTGGTAATATTTTTCCTTCAAAAAATCTATTTCTGCTAAAATTTTTCCTTCAAAAAATCTATTTCTGCTAAAATTTTTCCTTCAAAAAATCTATTTCTGCTAAAATTTTTCTTTCACAAAATCTATTTCTGCTAAAATTTTTCCTTCAAAAATCTATTTCTGCTAAAATTTTTCCTTCAAAAAATCTATTTCTGCTAAAATTTTTCTTTCACAAAATCTATTTTTGCTAAAATGTTTTCTTCAAAAAATCTATTTCTGCTAAAAGTTTCCTTCACAAAATCTATTTCTACTAAAATTTTTTCTTCAAAAAATCTATTTCTGGTAATATTTTTTCTTTCAAAATATCTATTTCTGGTAATATTTTTCCTTCACAAAATCTATTTCTGGTAATATTTTGTCTTCAAAAAATCTATTAAAGAAGAAGAAAAAGGGAAAATCTAAGATTAAAAAAGATGAAAAGTACAGGGTGGTCCAAAAGTCTTGTCAACCCCTACCAAAAAGTAATGAGAACAATAAGTCGTACAGTAATACAAAACACATGTACTGGATTCAGTTTATTCACTTTCATTGATGCTGTCATACATCGAGAAAGTCTGTAAGAACACAATCATTTTTGTGCAGGATGAGTCACCCATCTGAAATAGATAATGATATCATGTCGGGATGACAAGACTTTCAGACCTCCCTGTACATCCTTTCATTCCCTATAATAATTACTTACACAGCGTATTTAGTTTTGTTCATTGTTTGCACTTAGAAAGTAAATATTGTTGGCAGCAGCTTGAAAGATTGAATGATTAAACAACGAATTTTGCAATTATAAATGTTGTACATTGAAAGCCAGGAAAGTGATTGTCAATGGTCAGCAATTAAGTCAAACATTAGCACAATAATTAAAGATAGATTCAGAAAAATGAGACCTTCTAGCTTTTAAAGAAGATAATAATTTATCAGATCTGGTGCTACAAAATCTCAAACAAAGGGATCTACCATATATATATATATAAAAAAAAACACTTCATTTTTGGACTTCAAACAGTAATAAAAGCTAAAATGGGTAGCCTATGTAAATAGAAGGTAAAATAGAGATATAATTAATATGTTGACATTTCGCACTATCTTAAACAAGAGGTTAGGAAGGAAACTCCTACCAATACTTAAAAGGACAATAAGAGAGGACTTGAGAAATCTAATTATCTAAAAAAAAAAAAGTTTTATGAGAATGATTTTATAAATTTAAGGCAACAGTAATGGCTACTGTACTGTCAGTAAATACTGAATGTTTCATGTATGGAGACAGCAAATCTCACTAATACCATAACTATAGATCTCTTATTTACATTGTGTCTGCTCTGTTAATAATAGAGAAACAAAATTAGATTAGTCAGAAGTCAGCTTTAGACCAACGAGGTGTTTGAAGCAAGGAGCTTCTTTGAGGCTATAACCACTCATCAGGATTGGTGTAGATTTAGGGTCTACTCAGTGGTGATGAAATGTTACTAGTTAAGTTTTAGATTTATTGAATGATAACAGCCAATCTTTTCTCCATTAAGCTGTAAGAGATAAATCAGAGGAGAGATCAGTTGCTTGGTACTTATCATCAAATATCTGGAAGTGCACCCATACACTATGTTTTCATCTGCATATTTATTCATGAAGAATCTGTGTGTGTTCTTGGTCAGATCATTAATATAAAGTAGAAAGAGGGTAGAACAGAGGAGAGAGCCTTGGGGGGACATTATCATTGATCTCAAAATAATCTGAAATGTAAGCATGGCTGACAATTTCATACTTAGGTGATCATGTGATAGCAAATTTATCATTTATAACACTGTTGCATTATTATATATTAATATCTTTCTTATATTTTTTTAAAAATATCTTTTTTTTTATATATTTTTGTATGAAAATGGAGATCTGATGATTTAGGACCAAAATCCTAGTCCAAAGGAGATAAATCAATCTCATGAACTCTTAAAGTTGTCTGTTTCTTAATATAGTTAATATTTGCTCTGTTTTTAACTTGAGCCCTCTGGACTACATCCTCCTTGGAATTATTCAGATGGATTACCAAATAACTTCATTTATAAAAACAATATGCTAGATTTAGCTGTTTCACTCTTCCAAATGGAGATAGCTCAGTGACAGAAGCTCTGACACCAAATTGATTGAATTTTGATCCCAGCTTGATGCATTTGGATGTCTAGTTGCACTGGGAGCTGTGATACAGCAAAACAGTACTGCCTGCAGATGACATATATATATATATATATATATTATATATATATATATATATAAAAACTAATTTTATTATAGACAACCTGAAACAGTTATTACCTGACTTTTATAATGTAGGTATAATCACAAGTCAATAATCAAACCGTTCGCTTTATACAACAAATATTGTTTTCAACATAATCTCCTTCTTTGTCAATGCACTTATTTAGTGGTGAATCTTGATCCCCATAACTTGAACATTATACATTTTATAGTGAAAATTTTAGATCAAAATTAAGTAACCATCTCTAAATTATTATTATTTACGCTATTTGCATGCAGCTTACTGTTTCAGCTGTTATGGCCTTCATTAGGTGTACGTTGATCTGGTGTGAGATACACCTGATGAAGGCTGGAAGTCACAATGACTGAAACATTGTGATAAGAACAAAGATGAGGAAAACAGCCCATATATAAATAGTGTAAATGATAACTCTTCATGTCAGAAGACATTCTTTGTTTAATTAACTCCTATTAAGCAAAGATGCAAAAACTCTTTGACCCAATGCAATATTATTGGTCCTGATCTGGCTGCTTAGCTTCAGTCACTTTTTCATTACTATAAGGTTGCCTCTCTGTGCCTTTTCTATAAATACTTTCATGGTAGTTATTCGGATGAGCCCTTTGATATGGTACCTAAATTTTTTAAACTTAAACGCAGTACTAGACTGGCATCAAGATCTCATCATTTTACAGTTGAGCTGGCTAGATGCAGCTGTAAGTTTTATGCTAACAGTTTCTTTTCTTGTACTTCTTACTTGTGGAACTCCCTTCTGGCTCTATGCTTTCCAGCTAACTATAATCTGCAAAAATTTAAATATAATATCAATTGCTATCTACTGCCTGCTTGATTTCTCTTTTCTCTTTCCACTCATTATTAATGCTTCGGTTCCTAATTCCTGTAACCCCTTGTGTCTTAGTGGCTTTACTGCCTTGCATGTGGTGATTACAAAAAAAAAAAAAAATGCAAAAAGAAAAGAAAGTGTTCCATATTTTAAAATCAGACAGCCTTAATATTAGCATTATCCAACAAGGTAGATTAGGTAGAAAGGGATTTAATTTTATGGAAGCTTTATGCAGTAATGGATCATTTATTATTATTGCTGAATATATGATAAAACACCATTTTTTTTTTGCTTATAGTGTATCTAAATGATTTTTCTCTGGAAATAAAGTGAAGATAAAGAATGAGGATTGTCCATGGTCAGGAAATGATGCAAGTTTTACTGACAGAATAGAACTATTATAAGATTTTACCTGGACATGTTTCTATTTTTCTCTGTGTAGGGTAAGTGACAGGTGTGAGTACAGAAAATTCCTAAAGATCAAACCATTAGTTTAAACAAGTGATATCTGTCTATCTGCCATTGATTTATATAGTTTTTTTTTTTTTTCACTTTGCCATCTGACCAGACTGTTGATTAGCAAACTTAATTCAAAGTAGAAGAGGCTGACTTCATTTTGGATATCTTATAAAGATAATCAAGCTGGTCTTTTGATGTGTTTCCCCCCATCTCTTTTCTCATCTTGTGTGGTTGTTTCTTCTTAATTTAAACACAGAAGTAATCATGAAGAGTTAGGCACAAACAGCAGAGAATGAAAACATTGTATGAATCTGAGAAAGAGAAACTGGGAAGAAAATTGATAATAAAGAGAAAGCAATACAAATAATTAGAGAAAGGGTTTGGAAGAGAAAGAGAAAAATAAAGACAAGTGAGAAATTGAAAAAGAATAAAAGGTTGATTGGGAGAATACAGAAAAGGAAAGAGTGAATGAAATCAAGAAAAAAAAAAGGAAAGAAATAAAAGAAAAAAAATTGGGGATGAGGGAGAGGAAATATAAGAACAGAAGAAATATCAAGGAAGAAAATAGAGTTAAGGTGATGTAAAAACAAAGTTATGGACAATAGAAAGAGAGATATCATGGAAGTTAGATATGACTGAACTGAAGGAAAAAAATGGAATGAAAGATGAGGAAGAAGAAAAGAAATAGATGAGGGGAGAAGGAAAAGCAAAGAATAATAAGAAAGTGAAGGAGTCAAAGCAAAGAAATATAAGGAAGAAAAGCAAAGAATGTTGGGGAGAAGGAGGAAAAAATAAAAAGGAAAAAATTGTAAAGGAGAAAATGCAAAAAAAAAAGATGAAGACAAAATCAGAACAAATGTGAACAAAGAGTTAAAATTAAGGACAGTAAGGGAGACATATTGGGATGGCCAAGGCCACATTCCAAGATTTGGGTAGAGTATTGCAAGACAGGAAGATTTCTTTGGTAACAAAGAAAAGAATATTGAACTGTTATGTGACATCTGTCCTTCTTTATGGCAGTGAATGTTGGACGATTTCCTCAAAGATGAAGAAGAGACTCAAGGTGACAGTGATGTGGTTCTACAGAAGGATGCTAAGGATATCATGGACTGAGCATGTGAGCAATGACAAGATCTTAGAGAGGTTACAAACAGAGAGAAGGCTTATACTTAATATCAGAAAGAGGCAGCTGAAGTTTTTGGGACACATAATGAAGAAGGAGGGCCTGGAAAATCCGATACAGGTCGAATAGAGGGAAAAAGAGACAAGGAAAAACAACACATGACATACCTGGCAGGTTTAAGCAAGTGGATGACTGATTGTGTTCCGAGGGAGGAAGCAGAGGGAAGGAACTTGTTGAGATCTGCAAAGGATAGAGGGAGGTGGTGAGCCATGATTGCCTACATCCTGAAAGGACATGGCACATAAAAAGAAAGAAAGAAGGTGGTGGTGGAAAATGGGAAAGACAGATGGAGAGAAAAAAGAAAGATAAGGTTCAAAAGTGGACGTAGAGAAGAAATAAAAAAGAGAGAAAAATATTTCAAAGATTAACAAAAATAGTAAAAGAAAGAAAAAAATGAAGGAGAAAGAAGAAAAAAATGAAAAGAAGAAAGAAAAAAAATTAAGGAAAAGAAAATTTAAAAGTAAAAATATTCAGAAAAAAAGGCCACTAAAAAAGAAGTTAAAAGAAAGTTTTAAATGCAGGTAATGAGAGATGAGGGTGGCATGGTGGAGTAATGGATAGTGGCTTGGATTGAGGAATTGAAGAGCTGAGTTCGAATTCCAGTTGAATCCATTACATTCACTTAAATGCTAATACTCTTGGGAAAGGTATAAATCCTCTTCTTCTCCCTCAAACTATGGGTAAATAGCAGTACAGACCGGGTTCTATAACTTGTATGGCAACTGGTCTACTGCAGAAAGAAATGGCAACCGACTGCAGGAAAAAAGCTGCCTTGTCAGTCATGTATCAAAAGATACATGATCACTTAAGCATGTATCATGCATGGCACATAACTGACTGAATGAGAGATAGGAGAGAAAATTAATTCTTCTTTTCCTATTTTCTTCAGAATGTGAATGATCATGGCTCTTCACAACTTCCTGTCCTTTGTTGCTTTTAATAAGTTTTGTCTTTTTGCTATCTTTCCTAATCCCTGTTATACCAATCATTTACACAAGCTCATTAGGTAAATTATTAGCTGCTTTTCTCAGTGTTGATATATCCTATGAGTGTCCAATTTTCCAAGCCCTCTTTCCTCATTATATGCCCTAGAAATTTCAACTCTTTCTTTCTGATTCTAGGTACAAGGTGTGACAGAAATACCTCCCACAGTCGGAGGTATTTCTGCTGCACCGTGTATAAGTTTCTTTTTTGTTTCCATTTTCCTTAAAACTGTCATTGCTCATATATTTGGTCAATGGTATTCTCAGTATCCTTCTGTAGAACTACATTTCTGTTGTCTCAAGTTTCTTCTTCATCTGTGATTGAACTCTCCAACACTCGCCCTGTTAAAAAAAATCAAAGAATTTTAATTGGCAGAATGATAACAAAAGAAATCAATAAAGTTTGAAAGCAAATTTTATAAATGAGCGAACAGATAGGTGATGTTAATTGTTGAAGGAAAAACAACTGGCATATGCTGAGACAGTTTTATCAAAATCACAAGATATTTAAATTTGGAATTTATCAAACTTTCAAACAATCAGGAGATATTTTTTGTTGTATTTTTATATATTTACCATGTGACATTAAGAAAATATTCCAAATCATTTCCCAAACTCTCATATTTAGATATGCATATATATATTATGTGTGTGTGCAAATGTTCCCACCACTCTGGTTTGAAAAGGAGAAAATAAGTTTTAAATTGTAATCTTCTACAAAAGTCATATATATATATATATTAAAAATGACTGCAAAGATACTGTGGTTATATTTTTTATTCAGACAATTTCTATATAATTTATGTCCAGAAAAGAAAAAAATTATGAGAACAGATGAAAAATTAAATAAAAACTTCACCCTGTCAATCGTTTTTAATGAAACTTGTGTGTGTGTGTGTACATATATATATATATATATATAAAGGGTGTTTTAATAACTTGGACCGATTTTAAATGTGAATTAAGTTTAAGCATCTAATGAGTTTTTCTTTTTCTTTCAGATTTAACAACTTAAGTCTTTGGCAATTTCAACCATGGAAAGATTAAAAATCAAACAATATGTTAAAGTTGTCGAAGCCTATTATGAAAATGGACGTTCAAACAAAAATGCATTTTGACCACTTTGCAATTTTTTTGGTCAACATAACTGACCAACAGAAAGTGCAATTGGAAATGATGTAACATTGTTGTAGAGAGGTTCAATTCTTGCACGTGATGGTGAATAGAGGTGTTTGGATTTTCAGCCACATTCTCATACGCTGCAGCAGTGTTTTCAGCTGAATGGCAGAAATGAACATGTACTGGTGTTTTCACATCTGCCATTGATGCAGTTTTTTTGAATTTATGAACAATTTTTCCAATTGTGCTTTTGAAACATTAACACGTTTGATTGTTAATCTTTCCATAGTTGAAATTGCCAAAGACTTAAGTTGTTAAATCTGAAAGAAAAAGAAAAAAAATCATTAGACGTTTTAACTTAATTCACATTTAAAATTGGTCCGAGTTACTGGAACACCCATATATATCCGGAAAGTATCCAGCCAATTCACATACATGATATCTCATATTTATCACAGTGTACTTACTATTATCAATACAGTCTGCAAAAATTCTCTTTCCAGACCACCATAAGCTAACTGGTCACTTTCTCCCTAATCTCATCCACAGTTTATATATTTTTTTTTATCCTAACATTTACCCAATACAAAAACAAAGAACCAATGGAGGTAGAAGGGTTAATGTGTTGTATTTATGAACATAAGAAAACGCATTGGTCATGCCATATCATTTGTTTACAAAAATTTCACCTCTCCAAGTAACATCCCTGAGATAAACATTTAACAAATCCATTCTAAGCACTGTCAGATTATGGTCAACAATATAACAGTACTCTGCCAATCCAACTTTAAAAAATGATTACAAATCCTGAAGGCTTTTAACATCAATAGATTTTGTTTCAATTGCAGCATACAAGTTTTTAAATGCCTTTTGGACTGTAAGGTCAACTTAGGCCAGTCATGCTAAAATCCTTTCCACCAGTATAGCATTCATTTTATTTCAAATTCCAGATCATTAACAATATAAATGCTCCACCAGCTATCTCTCTTAACTTATATCTTCTTTCCTTGAAAAAGAGAAATGATGGTCAAAAATACTTGGAATATTTTAAATAATTTGGGAAATTTCCTTTACAAGTTTCTATTCAATATCAAACAACTTATTCTCTCTCTCTCTGTGTACAATATATCTTCACATATCATGCAACCTTTGAAGAACTAATTTTAAAGCTAATCTGACTACAGTAAATGGATATATAGTTTGGTCAATAGCATAGACAGGGACAGCTGTACATATACTAATTTTATATCGTATGTATAATACAACCTCCTTAAAATTAGCTTCAAAATTTGGTCTTCAAAAGTCAAATGATATGCAAGTTATATGGTATATACAGGGTGCAATGGTAATGTGTCATCTAAATTACACAAAAATGAAAATAACACTGACATCCATTTTAAAAGATATACTTACCAAAATTACACAAAAATATCTTGAAATACTAAAGAGTAAATTTATTCAATAAAATTGCCACTGGTTTCAACCACGATCTCCAGATGACTTCATAATCTCCTGCAACTCTTCTGGATGGTCTCCAAGTTGGTGAATGCTGCCATAATCCTTGTCTTCAGTTCATCTTTGGTATTACAAGGAGTTTTATTGGTCTCTCACTCAACTGTGACTCACATATAATAATCAAGGGGAAGTTAGGTGGCCAGAGGTAAGGTGATGTGGTCAAAGAAATTGTCTGACATCCATAACTGGGTTCTCCTGCTTGTATTGCATAGTGCAGTGTCTTACAGCAGCCACCCACTTGACCCAGGGCAGTACTACCTCCTTAAGGCACTTGATGTAGGCCTCTGTGTTGAGTCTGAGACTCTGTGGGAAGATGAAAGGAGGCATAATGCCATCATCACTAGTGATCACACAAAACACAATGATGTTGACTGGATATATCATCAAACTTTGAAATATTAAATATATTTTAACTGTTAAATAAAAAATAGTTTGTTGCATGTATGTATTTATATAATGATTTATTTTTTCAAAACATGGTCAAGATGTTGTGTCCATGTTCATAGTTGATATTATTTCTTATTTAACAGTTAAAATATTTAATCCTTGAAAATGGCCAAATGAAAAGCCAAAAGCACTCAGATAAAATGAACATTCAGACAGTTTTTATATAATTTATCATCTGAAAAGAAAAAATTATTAAATCACATGAGAAATTGTATAAAAAACTAAATAAAAGCACCTTGTCTGTTGTATTCAATGAAATGTTCATGAAAGAACTCCTGCTTAAATACACAACATATATATATATATATATATATATATATATATATATATATATATATATATATATATATATATATATATATGTATATGTATTTAGTGTTTGTGTGAGCGTGTATGCAATTAATTCCTTTTAAATAGAATATCATATATATATAAGCAATAACTGCTTCATAGGACCAAAGTATACATTGCTAGTTTGTTTCATTTGAGCATATTCCACTGAACTTAGAAGATGACATAAGCGAATAAATTTATCTGGGTTTGGTCTAGAGGTAAAGAAGTTTGATCCAGCTTAAAAAAAGATTTGAAAAATTCAAAATTTCTATCCACTCTAACCAAGGCTTGGAAAAGTGTACGTTTTTGCTGGAAAAGTGGTTTGCCCAGGTACTCGCCC